CAGATCACGCTGTCATGCTGTATTTAGTCTCATTCCAGCGTAGTTAGGCATTTAAGAAGCCAGCAAAAAGAACAAGTAAAGTATGCCAAATATGCATAAAGTAAGGCTTCTGGATGTTGTCATGCTGTTCATAATTCTCCACATAATGTTCTTAAAGAAGTTAGCCCCAACAAAATTGAGTCATTGTCATTGTAGAGTGGTTACTGACTTGAGGAATCATTGAGCTGCAAACGCAGAAAGCCTTGAAGTATCCTGGAATCGTCACATTCAGAATGTAGAGAGTACCTCGAAGCTGTGTCCATCGCTTATATCAGTTTGCACCATAGCCGATTTTCCGGCAGCCAATGCATTTGAATTTGAATTGTGCCATGCATGCTGTCCTCCCAGTGTAAATATTGTAAGTACCTACAAAGATCGAAAGATACAGTTACACTTGGACATCCATCTCAGCATGACTACGTCCTGTCTTGTTTATGAGATTTGTGAGAGAAGGCAGCTGTGCATAGCTCGGCAGAGTCATGAAAAGACCGGAGAAAAGCTGGTCTCCCCAGTGGTGACATCGTGACAAGGCGTGTCCATGTTGGGTGATCAGGTCAACATGGAGGCGAGCGTCCACGAAGAATGGAAAGCCTACCTGAGCTATCAGTCACTGCTGGCGGATGCAGAAATTTGACATGACTTATGCAGACTACACGATCTACACGCGGCAAACAAGCCGCAGGAATGGCAGCAAAGCTTTCTGATAGAGTTGTTTGTTTTACAACCTGTTCTAAGGTTCAAGGTGATTGAAGAATCCGTAGACATTTGGAAGGCTAAAGGCTGCTTCTGACCGAAACGGAATTCAACACCCGCCTGCCCGGGCACCTTTGTGTTTCACATTGACATGACTTCAGTGAGGGCATTTGTGGGCATTCCACTTATATATACAATGGGAGTGTTGGTGTTCGATTATGTCACACTTGGATCCACATCCCGCACTAGCCAACCAGAGTGCTATTTAGCATGTCGACATTGACTAAGCTTATTCAGGGTAGCGCGGAAGTGCAATATACTACAATTGCCAGCTAGCTGGCAGTAGAATATCTAGAGACAGTCCACGCTTAGGGTAAGATACCTCTACAATCCTCTATACATAAGCATGTTGCGCAGTTGCGCCCCGTGGGCTTGTGAGCTGCCGCGGCGGGTGTTGTGAGTGTCACGGTGCCGCTCGGGTCTCCTTGCCACCGCTCCAACCGACGTGAAAGCCACGTAGGACGGCCAGTGACTCACGACTCAACGGCTGTCTCGCGGCCAATGCGTTGGAGTGTGCAGACCCGGCAAGTGATGGTTTGAACTTGGAATGCTGAAAAAATAAAACAGACCCTAAAGAATTCCAAAATCGCAAGAACTCAAAGACGCGGTATTTTCTCCCTTGCCAAAATGACAGGCGCTTCACTTGCACCTTAGACTTCAGATTCCATTGAGGAGTTTCTCCGAAGTGAGCACCCTAAGACCGTGTGAACGAACTTTGCGTCCCTCAATGTGTGCTTTCTCGGCAGGTTTCATTGGGGACTGCGAACATCTGCGAACCAATCGATATACACAGAAAACGAGCGCAGATGTAGACAAGGGCGCTGCCGGCAATGCACGTCGTTTTCAGGGTGGCGAAGATGGGAATCCGCAGTCTCTCATCCAGGTTCAGGCCATGATTTTGAGAAGGACTTTGCCCAGTTCCATCTCTAAACCTCCCAAGGCGCAAAGTGAGGCACAGAATGGCCTCGTGCAGTTCCTGACCGATTTTGAGGCCTCTTGGCAGCCAATTGTTGGGGCCTCTTGGACCCCAGCGGAATGACTCTTGTAAGCGTGACTCTCTTCACTTCGTCGCCGTGGCCTGGTCAGCTGTTCACAAAGGGAAGCTTTTCCATGCTTGACCTGAGTTTTCCCAGCTTCAGTGCCTTTCCGTAGCTGATTTGATTTGGAAGTGGTCAAGACACCTTGGGGGAGGTCGGCTCTCTCCACATCCCTGTCAAACCATCTCACCTCATCACCTCATCTCGCCACAAGGGCCATGTCAAGTCACGTGATCGAGTTGCTCAGAAAAGTCCTCCCACGGCTTACAATAGATGGGCCATCCACTTCACTCCATTACCATTCTAAGGGATGGGTGAGTTGCTGGAATAATTTTGACTTGAAAGCTTTTGAGTGGGGCATCAGAAAACCATGCAATATGCAATGGGAGAGGAGAGGGTGGACTAGTAAACCCTTTGATGTCACCTCCCCTGACAATAATTTTGCTACATATGAAAAGATTGAACTCACCATACCATGCCATTGGGGAGGGGTCTCGCTTAATCAATTCTAGTTTGGCTTTTGGAACAGAGAAAAGCAACCTTTGGACAGAAGAAAAGACCAAATGAAGAAATGGAGAGCCCCGACATCTCCTAAAGAATGCTGAACGAACAGGTTCTAAGTTGTTTCATGAACATTGGGGTAGTCGTGGTTGCTTGAGTGTTGAACCCCCCTTGGCGATTCTTTTCGCCTTGTTCTTTCTCATTCCCCCTCATCCTGGCTCCACCCTTGGGTGCTTTGCAAATCTTCCTGTGGATGTTGGTTGGAAAGGGGCGTGTGAGATGTGAAAAGTCCAGCAATCCTATATAAATACCTAAATTGTGGTCATGGTCGCTTGGGCGTTCAAACTTGTTGGATCTTTGTAAAGTTTGCCTGGAATGCCCAACAAAGAGCTACAAAAACACCGAACCATACCAACCATCACATCACTCGCTGAAACAAAAATGTAACCTTCAAATGTCCTTCGGTTGGCGAGGAGTTAGGATTCCCTCCAAATCGGTGTACAGGCAATGCCATGCAGATTCTGTACCCCAAAAACAACAAACCAGATCAACGATGATCATAGACTGGAGCTCTGATTCGAACAGCTGAACCACGTCAGGAGTATGGGCACATGGTCCCCGAGCCAAGGCATAGGCCATCTCAAGACATGATGTTTGCCCTGTTGTGGATTTGTTTGCTTAAATTATTCGGGTATGTGTAAACGGTCAAGATACTTTATGTGAGTCAAAAGGTTTTGGTATGGAACACCTACAGGCGAAAATGCTGATCAATACCCCGTTCAATGCCTATTGAACAAAATTGTTTCTCATGTTCAATACCCCTTGTTCAATACCCTTGTTTCACAATCACACTTGTCCATTCCACAAAATGGGATCTCAATCTTGGATCTTGTGATGCCATACTACCATACCAACCTTGCATGTCCTGCCATTGTTTCTCTCGCGTCTAGCTCTATCTCAAACATGTATCATTGTGTGTGGGGAACCACTTCAAGACAGAATGAAAGTATTCACAATCCTGATTCTGCATGTGGTCTCATGATATGTCACAGGTGTGCACCATGGGAATGGGGAAGGGGGAAAGGAATTCTTGCTAGGGATGCCCTCCTACAGTTCCAGCTGTTCAATACCCATTGAACATGTTCCCTGTTCAATACCCATTGAACAGAATCTGTGCTGATGTTCACCGGGGACCGGGGGTTTTGATGCACAGCCTTATCAGTCATGTCCGACCCAATAAGAATAATTGATAACTTATTAACATTCCACCTCGAGGGATACCCCAAATCCATAAAGGCACGGCCCATGTTCTAAACTTCAAAAATTATCATCTCTCTCTCTCTCTCTCTCTTTTTCTTTCTCGCTCTCCTCTCTCGGTTTGTGGTCAGTCTAAGGACGTCTAGGGTTTGCGCAAGCATGCGCAAGCGATTCCTCAATCGAAGGTTCGTGTTTACTTGTCGATTCTGGACCAAACATATGGTTCAATTGTCATCTTTGGCACAAATCACATCAATTGTGAGTCATGGATGGTGGTGACTCCATCGTTGACCCTGAAGCCCTCCAGGTGGTGCCGGAGCTTCTACCAAAATCCAGCGCCTTTGCCGTGTTCCGCGAGGCCAGATGGGAATCAAGCGGAGCATATCGGAGCGGAGCGCCAGTGGAGCTGGGAATTGATGACCATTGGTGACAAATGATGGAAAACATTGATGGTGACAAACTCCTTGTTTCCATGGGTTTCCTTCGAATCCAAATGATTTGAGTTTGACAATCCGAAATTGCGGATCAGTAGGAATTCCGTGAACTGTGGCATAAGGATGCATATTGATATTGGATTTAAAGGAGCGCTTCCACGTCCAAGCGCTGACCAGGATCCTTTCTCAGAGATTGTGCCTGGCCTTGTGACTAAATTGTTCCGCTGCAGGTTTCCCATGGTTTCACCGTGTCTCTGAGGTGTTTGTTGTTTGAGAAATGCCAGGTCGCCAAGGCGGCAACGATCCCCCCTGGAGGTGAAAAGAAAGGCCTCGAGCGACGGATGAAGTTTCAAAAAAAACAAGACATGCCTCCTTTGCCACTGCTTGTCTCAGTCCCTTGTTGTGCATCTTAGTGGGTTGAAATTGGGAGGAGACAAGCAAAAGCGTGTTGTCCACAAACAAGGTTGGCACAGGTTGGTATTGAGTTTCGACTAGTGACTAGGTCTGAAGGTGGGCATGAGATGGCATGAGCATTCACACAGCCCTTCCCGATTCCTTCACAGTTACGAAATGTCGACCTTGACATGGACATGGATGCAGAGCCACACCTACAATAGCAATTATCTCCAAAGATAGCTACTGTGGATCATAGCTCCCATGTTTGAGCCTGGGTCTTGCTCCGGATGCCCCTTCAGCTTGGAGATGATCAAGTCTCAGGCCGCTTTTTTTCGCCTGGTGCTCAGAAAGCTGGGCTTCAGGTCCAACGCACCGCTGATGTGGATGTTCAACGAGCTGCTATCAACAGCCTTGAATGTCTTGTACCAACCGTTATTTTGCTAAGCATTTATGTGCATGCTTGCCATACTAAGATTGCTGAATGTTTTTGTCATACTCAGTCATACTAAGATTGAGTAAAATTTGAACCGCAATTCTAGAGCTCAAGGAGTGGAATCCGGTGCCACTTTTCCGCTTGAGCAAGATGGCCGAGCAAGCGCTCCAGGATACGATGGCTCCAGTTCTAAACAAGCTGGCCTTGATCGAACGAGCCCGCGATGTGTGTCAAGCTGAGGAAATCCCGCTTCCTGGAGTGGTGGTGGTAGGAGAGCAGTCATCTGGCAAGTCTTCCTTGCTGGAGAGCATCTCGGGCATTCAGTTTCCACGCGCGCAAAACACGTGTACAAGGATGCCATGCGTTTTGACATTGCTGGCAGATGATACAGTCACGGAGCCATTTGCCGAGGTGTCGATGGACTCAAGTTTTGCCAATATTGCCAATGTTCCCTTGGTTGTGCGAAATTGGTTTGAGATTCACTTTGCCTTGTGTTGTTTTGTTGTTGTTGTTGTCGTTGTCGTTGTGGTTGTGGTTGTGGTTGTGGTTGTGGTTGTTGTTGTTGTTGTTGTTGTTGTTGTTGTTGTTGTTGAGATCAGCCCTTGTCACAGTCTGTTGTTGCTTGGTTCGGTGTCTTTCCTTTCACACAAGGTACGAAAGTGCACAGTGGCCCAAGTTGAGGGAGAGATCAAGCAGCTCACCGAAAAATATGCGACTGGTGCTGACTTCATCTCAAGCCAGGCCTTTGGTTGGTCTCACTGCTTGGTGGAGTCGCAAGACATCAAGGGCTCATCCTCAAGTCTAGCAACCCGTGCTCATGATGTTGACATGCTTCACGGAAGGATCACCATCAATATGTAAATGGATGCAGATTGTGTTTCATTCCAAAAGTATCACCATCCAATTCGTATTTGTGTTGATTGCTTTTCTTCGTCGTTTGGCTGCAAGGCGTTGTATGTGCGGGTGGTGCGCCACAAGGGGTCCCAGCTATCCCTGATCGACTTGCCCGGGGTGACGCACAACGCCGATCAAATGCGCAACATCCACGAGGCGCAGTCGCTTGCTTTCGGTGTGTTCATCGAAGTGTGTTATAATGGTAATGGTTGTTTATCCAGTAATTAGTTAGGATGGATTGCCTGGAGTCGGTGAGTGTTAGTACTCTGGCGTTTCAATGTCCAAAGAGTCTATACAAAGAGTCTATACAGTGGCGGTCCCAAATAAAATCAAATAAATAGAAAACGGTTTCCTATACATTCTTAGTGGGGATTTAAGCTGTTCTATCTATTTGAGGGAAGAGTTTCCAGTTTCTGCATTCAGCCGCATGGCAATGGCAAAGTATATTATATATGGTCACGTAGAATCCAGTTGCTCTGTAGAAACCAAGAAAACTCCCAGAGTCACATACTGTATATAGACAGATTCCTTGGTCAAAGACAGGAAGATGTCCCTGTCAATGGATGCTCCATCCCAGATGTGTGCATGCTCCTATGACCTCCAGTGCCTAGTCTACACTGAACAAGAAGGACTTGCCATGCATCCCCCAAATTACTGTACTTTTCTCATTAGGTGTCGCATGAGCCTGTACAATGCAACTCTGCGAATTATGCAGTCGCATTCCATTGACGAGGAGTTTTCTCAGCAACCATTTCCATTTTTTCTCGGTCAGGGCTGGGCTAAGCTAAGCAGATTCGCTTTTGGGTCAAAGGACTGCAAGAATAATACTTTCCAAAGCAGCCTCAGTAAATGAGACCACCAAATCAATACTCTCAACCAATAGATCTAGTAAGAACATGCATATATATATATATATATACTGCATAAAGAAGCACATCTTTGGTACCGCAATAGACCCCCCCCACACAATCATAACAATAGTACTCGTAACAGCAACAACAACACACAACAATTATGTAAGTTTGGGAGATGCTTTTCAGTGAGCACGGGGTGTGGGTGGTGAATCGAGTCTTCATTCCTGCACTTGCAAGCACCAGAACACACTCCTTTCGACACTAGATTCACCTTGTTTACGAACCATTCTGTTTGGGGCCGGCTCCGTGTTGACCTCCAGGATGGTCATACTGAGTGGCTTTGGCCGTGTGTTGGTGGACAGAATGAATGAACATCCATGTCACCCAGCCACAAGCGTTCTATAGAGCAGCAGGTCACTGCGGGCTTGGTCGAGAAGTACATCGAGCCGGAGGAGAATGTAATTCTATGTGTGATCCCTGCCATGTCGGACTTTGGGAATGCGGAGGCGGAGCTGCTTTGCGACCTGAACAGGTAACTACTGCTGAGTTCTCATGTCTTAAGGTGCTAAGTTCTAGATGTGAGGCACTTGACTTGACTGTTCAAGAAATCTGTTCTGGGGTTGCATAAGGGATATACACATTAGGCACCCCTCCGCAACTCAGAACTGTGGAGCTGTCCCTACAGCTCTGACTCGCCCTTTTCGTTCAAGGGCTTATTGGCATCACATGTTCCCGACCAGCAAATGCAGTGATGGGCAGCAACAAATGACCTCCTGGTCCCCGTTCAAGAGTGACAGACTTTTCTGACACCTCGGGAATGACGGCTTCAGCATTGCGGAAATTGATTTGGGCTCTCATTTCATACAAGAACAAGTACTTTGCACTCAGCAGCTCCATCCACAACGTGCACATCTATCACCTTCTCGTTTCCCAGCACTCTGATGTTGGTGTGTGCAAGTCCCATGGTTGCACTGCTATGATCACTCCCGTATAGATGAAGTTCTTGTGCATAGTTCGATTCACTTCAATTTCCTGTCCTTGGGAAAAAAACCCAGTTGCTCGTAAAGTTCAGCAACGATGTGGGCTGCTGATTGTCCACTGGCATTGAAGATGTCATTCGCTTGGAAGATCACCTTATTGGTTTGATCATCTTCATTTTCCTCTTCAATCCATCCGTTGCGGACAGAAACGAGCAATGTGGCCTTTTTTTCCCACAAGGCACGCAATCTTTGTCAGCGTGAAGGTTGATGCCTTACCTGCACCTCTCCCTTGTTGCATGCCAGATGAGGTGTGATTGACGTTTGGATTGCGGACTGGATAGAAGCCACGGCAGCCATGGGCAGTCTTTTCTTGGTCCAAAGCCTTTCGAGCATCTTTGAACTTTGCCGAGACATCAGCATCATCTGGATCATTCATGAATCTATGCAGAGTTTCTTGATACATAGCAGCTTCAGTCATCTCTTCCGTCAAAAGTTCCTCTTCGTCTTCTTCAATGACAGGAACACTTCACCTTCAGCATTCTCGGTCTCTTCCACCATCATGGCTTGTCTCAAGGTCTTCTTCCGGTTTTTCACTTCCTGCCTTTTCCAAGCGTCGTATCAGAGCCTTGAAGAGGGGTTCATAGTCAGCAAGTTCTTCTCCGTCACGCTGTTAGGTGTCCTTCTCCCAGAAGGTGCCCCTTCTCTTTGCCCTTTGCCCCTAGTCTTTTCCAGGAATGTCAACAAGCACTTCCAGCCGTCAGCCTTCTTCAGAGCTGTTGGATCTATCTCAGCTATGGCATCGAAAGCACGTCCGGTGAGGTTCGAAGCTAATCGAGGTCCCAAAAGTGTCAACTCTTCTTCCTTCACACCATCGGCGAAGTTCAACTCTCAGTTGATATTCAAGCCATTTTTCCCAAGAACCATCCCAGGTTTGATAATCGAAATCCACACCGCCATCACCACCGTTCGACGAGGCCGCCATGGCACCAATGGAGCCTGCTCAATTGGCAGGCTCTGCTACCATGCGGATGCACTAGCCACAAAACACAAAACAAGGTCAACAAGCAGGAGCTCAAACCGCTAGGTGCACAGTTTTCACTGGCTGAGCGATCGAGCTTTGCCCTCACGAAAAGGGCGAGTCCGCTTCGCTTCTCTTGAGCAGAGCAATCTAGCTGATCAGATTCTCACTGCCGGTATATATAGAAGGCTTGCTAAAAATGTGTAGATGTCCTTCTGATTGTGGCCCAGCCCCATTCGTGCCAGCAGTGTTCAACAGGTGGTGAAGTTGGCCCGGAAGTATGACCCAGAGGGCCTCCGGACCTTGGGAGTCGTCACCAAATGCGATGATGCGGCCAACGCCGAAGTGTCAGACATTGTAGAGAAGGCTTGGTGTGAGCATATATAAACAGGGAGTGTGCAACTTGGGTACATGACGGAGTCTCAAATCCTTGGTGAGTGTCCGACAGTGTATTAGTTGCCGGGTATAACTTGCAAGCGTTCAATGACTCCACAAGCGCCGCAGGTCTTGATGTCAAGAGCAACGGATGTCCAACTTCAGCTAGGATTTCACTGTGTGGTGAATCGCTCGCAGAAGAACATCGATGAGAACATGAGCAGCGAGGATCTTCGTGCCAAGGAGAGAAGGGTCTTCACTGGGAGCGATCGGCTGAAGAGGATTCCAGAAAAGAATTGGGGCACACACCGGCTGATGGAAAAGGTTGCCAAGATTCAAGAGGCCAGAGTGGATGAGTGCCTTCCCAAGATCAAAGATGCGGTGCGCCAAAAGCTCACTGACCTCAAAAAAGCACTAGGCCAGCTTCCAGACCAGCCCACAACTGATGATGAGCAGTCCGAACTGTTCAACGAGATTCTTGCAAACATCCTTGGTGATTTGACAAGACGAATCCGTGCTGAGTTTGTGAGCGAAGAGGATGCCGACAAAGAATTCACGATTGCCCCAAGAGTTTCTTTGATGATCAAGGCTTTTCTGGAGGACTTGCAATCAAAAAATCCAAAGTGGCTGGAAAAGGACATGATTGATAAGGCGTATGGCATGGTGAATGACTTTGGGCAAGGCCACACTGTGGAAAACCTGTCTGGCCACCAAGTCTTTATGACTCTCATCAAGCTGAAATATGTGACACAGCCACTGTTGAAAGAGCCTGTCAATTGCCTTATCGTGGATGTGGGCGAGCACGTGCAGAAGGTTGTCCAGCATGTAACTCAAGCACATGCGGAAAACCATGGCAGCCTTTGCAACCATCTCGAGGCAACCGCAGAGAAGTGCGTTGAACAGCTTACCACCAAAGCTCGAAGCTTTTGTGGGCATTTGATTGAGGCGCAGGGAGTGATCACTCCCATAGATGAGGAATTTCAGAAGAAACTGAAGGTGTTTCGCAAGCAAGTGTCTGACGGTACGACCAGCCCAGGAAATGAGCTCTCCGCCTTGGTTGCGGAGGCTCAAAAAGATCCAGTCAAGCTGCCGGCCTATGAAACATGCTTTTCCCTTCACGCTTACACACCGATTATGATCAAGGCTTTCGGTGAAAATGCAGCCAAGGCCATAAAGATGTTCATGGTGGATCAGCTGGCAGATGAGCTAGGTAAAACCTGGAGGCGGGAACTACGCTCCAAATTGCCTGAGCTCTTTCCAAAGGATGACACGATGGTGCGTCGCCAGGAGGATCTTAAAAAGAAGATCGAGGCGCTGTCAGATTTCAAGGCCAGGGAAGCAGATGCATGACAAGTCGCTTTTCCCACCTGCCTCGTTTGGGGTCTTCCTAAATGTAATGTAGATCACTCATTATTTAGCACTGTCGATATCGCTCAGACACAATTGACACTCAACAACACCTTGGGCCTTGGGACGTTGGTGCAAACCCTGTTCTCCTTGGACAGGGGGAGCTGCTAAAGCTGCGGACTGCTGCCCTTCCTGTCCAGAAGGGTAAGCGCACAACCTCGGAGAGGGTGGATGCCACCGAAGCCGCTCAGTTCCTGTGCCAGCCAGCAGCGACTGCAGCGGAGAAGGAGTTTCGGTGGGATTTTGGGAAGCACATTGCGGACAAGAAGTTCATGAAGGGGGAGCCTATTTGCAGCGAGAAGTTTACCAGGATGAATGTGCCTGACCTTCAAGTGCAGCTCTATCCCCGGGGAGAAACCAAAGCTTCGGAGGGCTTCATGTCCCTCTACTTTCAAGCGCCTAAGGGATGGAAGCTCCGCACCAAGATCGCCATCGGGAACATAGAGAAAGACTCCACAGATGAATATGCATACAAAACGTCCTGGGGATGGAGTAATTTTGCACGCGTCGATGGTGGTGCGACGGAAGTTGTTGTAGAAGTGCTTGAAGCCATTCCCATCAATGCAGGTGCCTAGCTGAAGTCTTCGAGAGCCTTTCCAAGAGTGGAAGGTGGGAATTTGTTGGGTGGCAGTAGTATTTTACGGTGGCAAGTTGCCATACTCCCAACTTGCTGGCAACTTTACATTCGAGGCCCCAACTCATTTCGTTAAGAAAAGGATATTGAAGTGCTTGTATGTGCTTAGCAGCCGTATGTTTCTTTTTTGGAACCTCCTGCTAGAATAGAAGCACGTTGGTGACATGTTGCAACATGCCCAATGCCACAGTGTAGATCAACCTTTGGATTGTTTCGAGGTCAATGCCAAATGTTCGCTCAAGATGTTTCCTGAACGTCAGTCATCCAGCATCACCATACCGCCCAAGGTACAGCCATTTCGCCTGCAGTTTCCCCGTCATGGCTCAAAAGGCCTTTGCAAGTCCAGGCATGGTGGAGAATAAAGGGGAAAAGAACAAACACCAGCCATTGCAGGCCTTTGCAAGTCTGGGCAGTTTGTTTTGGCATTGAGTCCTAGCATTTTGCCGCTCCTGCCGGGTCGGTGGACTCCACCGACTCCACCGGACCAATCTCTCACAGGTATTGTGTCGCTGGTGCGGCTGATGCAATGGATGGACGCGTCCAAGGCCATGTTGGGCGCGCGCTTGAAGTTGCGGCCGTTTAACACATGGCTGGGAACTGATTCATAGATTCATAATGTGAGCCCCTGAGCCCCTCATGGTTTTTTGGCCACAATGCCGAGGGATGCACAATACTTTTCCAATTAGGATGCAAGGATGACCGACCATTCAAAATGCTTGGCAGAGGCAGGATTTGGAATGACAAGTTGGGCCTGTGCAATACAACAAAGTCAAATTGGAAGGCTTTGCAAAACTAGTTCTGAACATGGGCAACGGGATTCAAAGTACCGTACCCACCTGATACTCACCGCGACATCTAGCCATCGTTACATGAGTCACAAGAGTGGGCGGTGAGGAGCCAGAAGTCAATGTAGGAGCAGAGGAGGAATGTTGTGATTTCTCGGATTGCTAATTCAAATTCTATATACAATTGTCCGTAATTGTCCTATAGTGAACATGTTGTCCTTGGCTATGTTCAGTGTTGTTTCTTGGATAGGGCACTTTCATGAAGATTATAGAGTGCTTATCCAACGAAAGCCCTATCCAACCAATCTAATTTCTAGATATTAAAGATTTATATAAAGGAACGTTTTAATGAAACTTTATATAGTTAAAAAAGAATGAACGTTTTTATATGTGTGTGTGCAACTATTTATGTTTTATAATCTATATTATTTATGTTGGGCCCACATGCCCGAGCGCCGAATCCAGTCGCTCCATGGGCCCAGCCGTCGCGCTTGTGAGGGACGGGTGCTCTTCAGTCAGTCTTTCCCGGGCTCAGCGCCCAAGGGCTGTCCGGGAACCAAGGAAAATATAGAAAAGCAATAGGAGGGAAAAAGAGAAATCGGACCACTTTTGCCATGTTCCTGCATGTCCATCCACTTGGAGGGTAGAAGTTGTGGGCGCAACAAGTGAGCTGACAGCGAAGCGACCGACAGCCTTCATCCTCTCAAGCCACTTGACCGGTTGGTTGCAGGCGCTGTGAGCCTCCGCATTCTGCCGGAAATGGAGAAGTTGCCCGAGGACGAACGTGTTGGCACGAGTTGAGATGGGATCGCTCCTCAAAGGACACTTGATATATAATATAATTTCATCATTGAAGACATGAAATGCACAAGAACCAGCCGGTGTTCCGCTGATTCTTCCAGATCAGCCCGAAAGGGGCGGCGGCATTTTGGCTCGAATCCATTTGCCCACATCAAAATGATTCTTCTATAAGGAGCTGCGGGGCGAAGAGTTGGAGCCGAAGGTGCAGGAGAGGAGGGTGGAGCACATGGGGTCTCCATATAGTGTGCCATCAATGGATCAGGGAAAACCAACTAGTCGATCATTGGTCGATCAATGTCAGGGACACAGTACAGGATGAATATCAATATGTATATCACTGGTCGCAATGGCCGTTGTCAATCAAACTCATAGACTTGTGGCTTCTGGCTGGCAGGTGCTTGTGGGACAGGCCATGCAGCCCATGCACCTTAAACTATATCAAGGAAAGACCTTCACTAAGCCTCGACATCCACTGTTACTGACAATGCGATGATATGCCTAACATGTCCAAACATCAACACGCATCCCGGCTCACTACAACAATATGTCCCAGGCACTCCATGTATGGTATATATATATATGCCGATCAGTTGAGGCGGTTGATGGGATCCATGTAGGCACATATCTCATACATGGAGTGTTTGGGTGTGATGCTACTGGCCTTTCGGCCCCCTCTTCGATTCGTCTCTCGGTCAAGGAGCCACAGGAGGGCAAGGTGCGGCGCAACTCTTACGTGGAGGTTGGGGAGAAAAGCACCATTTGGCGCTGGAAATCCAAGATGTGTCAGCTAATTTCTGATTCAAGTCCATGGACATCCTGGATTTCAGCCGGTGTCGCCGACTCAACGCCAGGTGCACCGTCGCTCCCAGTCCACCGGGCGCACCAGTGTCACGCGCGCAGCCCGCTCCCAGTCGCGGGCGGATGGTGCTCATCGTGCACGGCCTGCGGTGCTTCCAGCCGTGTGACTCAGAAGTTCCAGCCGGGTGGGTTCCTACCTAATAGCTTCTAGCTACTATAGTAGCTTCTTGCTACTAGTAGTAATGGCCTCCAACCTACTAGCGATGGCCTCCTACCTAATATAGCTTCTAGCTACTAGTAATCAAAATCATTAGTGGGACTGACTAAGGCTCATCCACGTTCCATAGGTCGCCTGGGTGCTTTATAGCGTTTTGCATCATTTGTGCTGGTATTTGCAGTGTTTTTGTGGTTTACTCCCACAGAGAAACTGGGGAGAGCGATACACACAACATTTGAGTGTAGGAGTTGGTTGCGTTGGTGTCAGATGAGCAAGCCGAACCAAGGGGGAGGAGGGGGGTGAGGGTAAGTCCCCCAAAGTGGCAGTGAAGTAAACAACACTGGACCTGATCGAATCAGTGTGTGCGGGCTTCAATTTTGAGCCAAAAGTGAAGGAATGAATTAAGCTGAAAGCTGTACGAAGAGTCTAGATACGGAGCTATACAAACTATGCACTGAGAACAGGTGCTACACACGTATAGCGTAGACACGCCTAGGGGACCTAGGACACCACAAATTAGAGAGGTTGGGGTGAGGCTCAAATCCCCCGCAGTGGCAGCATGTTTACACAGTATCCCTGCATCTAGCTTACAACCCTACAAAGTGCGCAAGAGCGAGTGAGCGAAGGGGAGTGAGCGGCTGTTCACGCACGCACTAAGTACCTTGAGCCAAATACATTGGCATGTTCATGCAGTAAGAGCATAACACTAACAGAACCAAGTAGAAGCAACAGCGAACCAGGGGCCCAAAAACAGGGAGTGGAGAACTATGAAAGATTTCGTGCGGAGCAATTCCCATAAGAAATCAAAGATGAATGTTGACTCTGATGTCAATCCAGCGCTCAAGCGCCGAGTCTGTCAGTTTGTTTGGCGTCGCTCCTTGGGTAAGGTGAAACCTTCCCAGTTCTTGAAACGGATCGCTCAAGTCACGAAATGAAAAACACATTGATCCGGTGGTGGGAATGCAACAAGACGTCCCCAGGCGACCAGGCGACCTAGGGAACCGCAACCTAGTTGGTGGCCAATGACAGCTAGACCTTCGAACAAACAAATATGCCGAAGCGTTGCCTAGACATTGAACACAACCCCCGCTCTTCATGTCGCAAGCGACATCCGGTCTGTTGTACAAAGGATGCAAGGGCAAACTATGCTGGAACTGAAATCCAAGTTTGCCAATGACAGTCCATGCCAATCACCATTTGAAAGCGTGTGAAGACCGCTGACTAAGGAGTGGGCTCACGCAGAGATCCAGAAAACCTTCGGGTCAAGCTAGCACGTCTAGTCTAGCGTGACAGTTGCTTGTCACTGTTTGGTCCAGCAACAAATAATTAATATAGATCCAGATGCCTCAGCTTGTCCAAGCATTGCTCACGTGACTTGGCTCCGCTTTTGTTCCTTGTGCTGCTGACATACCCTGAAGTTAAATTCTCCACCTTTGAATCAATCCTCAAGGATGTAGCAGCCGGACACGTGTCGTTTCGTGTCCAGCCCGGCTGCGTCTGGTATCCCACGGATCTCACGGTCTCGCATCCGCCAGGCACTATGCTTCTTTGGCAGATCCGTTGAACCGCACCACGCTCACCTCGCAGAAGCTCCTTGGAGGAACAAAGTCCGACTTTGTCCTTAACTCTCCGTTCTTCTGACACTGTTCTTCCGTAATTTGGTATTATTCCGCAACTGCTCTTCAGAAACTAGTCTTCAGAACCTAGTCTTCGCGTTCTTCGGACACTTTGTTTTTGGAACACCGTCTAGTTGCCGAAGGTTAGTTTCCGAAGAAAACCTTGGGGTTCCTGAAGACTCCTGAAGATCACCTTTTAGTTTCCGAATAAACTTTTGACCCTCGTTGGAGGGTCCAACACCGGCAAAAGGCGCGAGCCATCGGGTGGAACGGTGGAGGATGAGTCGTGCGATCAGAAGTCGGCCGCTTGGGGGTCCAACAAGGACACATCAGCAGTGAATACTGAGAAATGTTTCAGCATGCCATTCAGGATTCAATTTTGGTGGGAGGAACTCAAAGACTTTGGGTGAAAAGGTTCCTCCGAGGACTTGGCCAACTTAGTTCGCCAGACGCAAATGATTCACACAGGAAGCTTTGTGAGAGGAGACGGCCGCACAAGCCCATCAAAATAGACGTCTCAATATATACCCTGCAATATTCTGAAAATAAGCAGCTAGCAATCCGGCTGTTGTTTTGAACCTGGTAGTCACTCTCTGTGTGTGTTTGGGCGGCAATAAAGGCAAATGGCTGGTCGCATACACAGTCGTGTTCCATTCCGCCGGTCCGCTGGCGAGTCGGCTGTAAAACCAAAGACTCAACCACCGACTTACGTCGCAGTAGCTTAGTCTCAGTGAGTGAACCATTACTTGGCTGCTGCACTAGCTAGCTAGCTTATTGTCACTTTATCACTTCTTTACCTCACATCACGATTTGGTTCACCTGATCAATGAATCATTGTGCGACTAGCTAAAAACAGTCTTTGGGCGCTCCGGTTGAAGGCTCAGCCACCCTAGCTACCTCAACGCTCAGCATTGTTATGATGTTTCTTGTTTAAAAGTCAAATTAATCGCTGTACTTAGTCAACTATGACTATTTCACGCTTGGCTCCCCTTGCACGTTGCTCACCACTGAACCAGCCCACCTAAACTGATCTCCAAGTGTCCAGCATGACGCTTATATAGGTAGTTCAACCCTTACTTGGACATATTATGGACCGAAAAGTTATTTCCTATCTCCAAAACTATCCAACATCCAACCAATGACTTTGCTGGTGCCTTCCAATATGAAGGCAACCAAGACTCTAGACTCCTTCCCTCAGCTTTCGATAAGAAAGTCTTTGAAGCCTGATGTGCTTATTATAAGGGTTTGGAGTTGCCGGTGTCACGCATTTAGGTTTGGCAGATTCTTGCGTGACTGCGGGCTACTGAGCATGGAGGCAGCAAGGGCACTTTTCGATTGAGCGGTTTTTGACCATTAGCGGCACCATACGCTTCTAGATTGCAAACACCACCATGAATGAAAGGCTGCTGTAGTCCCCCAGTACTTGATTCTGAAATTAATTATCCAGAGCAGGCGACCCTTTAGTGGCTCAAACATATGTTGTCCAGTTCGGGATGGAGCTTCACCTCCAGTCGTCACCAGAGCTTCAGGATAATTGATTGATCATGATCATGGTTCAATACTCCTGGAAATGTCGGCTACTTGTAATATTATCCCAAGCCCCCACTATACCCAAAGGTTGCATTTTTTATGTTGTTTTTTTTGCAGCACAAGTTAGAGCCTCTTGGCAATTTTGACACTGGTCAGCACTCGGGGTCAACACTGCTGGCGCGGCCGCTTTGACATGGAAACGTCGTGGCAAAGTTTCGGCCAGGCTGAAGGAGCAGTGACCTTCGAGTTTGCTCCTGAAGGTGTGGCTCGGGGTGGATCATCAACTCAGCCACGTGGAGATGATCATGAAAGGCGAACACATCCCAGAGGATGTCCATGGGTTTCCTGTTTATTGAGACAGATTCATGACCTTCCTGATCATAGCTCTCCCGTCTAAAAACCAAAAGGTGACCTATACGGAATTGTTTGCGACCTTCTGATGATAGGCGAACGCCATTTCCAAGAGGCGTGTTTTTCCCTCAGGTGCTGGTCAAATCCTTTACGCAAGAAGCAAAACTTGACATTTGACTGCCTTTGGCAGGAGGTTGAGGAATGCCGCCCAACAAATACCACAAAATGTTTGCAGGAGATGCGGTAAGACCTTTTTATTCTCTAACTCTATTTGGTCATTGCTCAAAAATAGGGAGCCCATTTTAAACCCTAAAAGAAGTTAGACCAAGCCTGTAAGTCCCCGGCCTTCATTCTTTTCCAAGCCACAATCCCTTTGTGATGATCGAAATCGAGCCTTTAACCTCCCACTCCAGGTCGACGTTCGCTTCGGCCCAGAGGCGCCGTGGTGGACTCACGAAAAGAGTTGCAAACGGTTCGTGCAAAGGAATTCTAATAGCTTCTTGTTACTACTAGTAAGGCACTTGTTCCTAGAAGCGAGGCACTTGTTACTAGTAGCGTCCTTGTTCCTAATAGTAAGAATGCTACTAGTAACTAGTAGTCATGCCCTTTGTTACTAGTAGCGATGCCCTTTGCTACTAGTAGCTACTTGTTCCATCTTGTTCCTAGTAGTAAGGCCAGGAGCCCCGTTCGTAGCGTCCTTGCTCCTAGTAGCGATGCCCTTTGCTCCTAGTAGCATCCAAATGCATGCAAGTCCCTTATGTGCAAGTCCCAGAATCTGGGAATCCTTGGCTGTTTCAGACTCTGAAACTTTTGGGAGTGCAACCAATGTTGACAGCAATAAAGAGATGGAATCTTAGAACGAGTTTAGACTCGATTGCAGACTTGCGCATGTTTTGCTGGAGAGGTTCATTGGATTCTGCCAAGCTCTGAGAGTACTGCAAAGAAAAGGGCAGGGCTGAAGCACTGTACCAAGCTGCACACTCATGAGGATTTCATTTGCCCAGTCTTTCACTTGCCGTTTCTTTGTTTTTACTATAAGCAATTTTGCGCTAGACAGCTGTAACAGATCTCCTTTTTGCTTGAGCAGCCGTAACTGCCAATTTCAGTAACTCCCAACTCAATCCAATTTCCAAGACTTCTTTGTTACCCAGGCCAACTAGCAGCTACAAGATCCCAAATACACGGCATCCCAAGCTGGATGGTTTCTCATTCTTTATACTGTATGTGTTGTGTTGTTTTAGATCGCCGGGACTTCGAATTTGCACGTGCACCGAAGTGTATCATCCTTTTAAAGTGTTGCATTAATTAATGAATGCCTGCGGTGTTTGGGGTTGCTTGCACTGTGTGGTGCACAAGGACCTGCAGTAGTTGAATATTTGCGGATGGTCAACATTAACATCGAAATTTGCCAGCCGTATGTCACAAGTGGGACACGTTACAGCTTCAGAATGACTGGAACCAAAATGAACCAAACAGGGCCTCGACCAACAACAACAACAACAAAAAGAAAGAGAAAGAGAGAGAGGAAAATGAGCTTTGGGAAGCAGTATTGGCCTAGGCTATTGGTGCAAAGCCTGGTGCGGTCCGAAGAATGCGTTGACGTCGACTCCGTGCAGCGGAAAAAAACACATTTGGATGATGCGGATGGGTCAGCCAATTCGCATGGCATGAGTGTCAGACATGCGCATATTCATATCGCATCGTCGCATCATATCGTATGTTTGCAATGACTCTATTTAGCGCTTGCAGTTCAAGCCATTCCTGTGGCTGGGAGGGTTGGGCGGTCAACATTCTTAGTGCTATGGGGTGCACTGCTGGCAAAGAGGGCGCGCTACTTCCTGAAGATGTGGCTGGTATGTTCAACACTTGATGTCGTTTCACGCCCCATTTGCTTCAAAGTTGAAGTATCCCCCTTTGGAGCATACCCAACACAATCCAGCAATTTTGTTTGACTGATGTCAGGGTAATCGTTTTCGGTATGGCTTCCTTTTCGGCGTGCTTTGGCGCGAGGGGCTGTGTATTGGTTTGTTCATCCGCTGCCAGCGGTGCTGTTGTAAAAGACTTGACTCGAGGCGATGCCAGTGATGCGAGCGAAGAGGGTAGCCTTCAGGGAAGTCATTCAGATCCATTCGGAAAGTGGCGAGGAGGAGAACCAGCCAATGTCGATCCATCCAGAGCTCAGTTTGCAACTTTTCTTGTCCATGGTGGAACATAATCCGACCGTGATTCACAACCGGGTCGCACAAAAGCGAAGGAGAGACTTTGGATAAAGCAAGAGAAGTAGATGATGTCCTGTGGCTCGCAGGTGATGTCATCCTCATGTCATCCTGCTTATGCCCGTTTCTTGACAAGTCTCACTGACCGCCAATTGGTACTACTAGGTGATGGTGGGATGCTTAAACCCCCATCCTTTTGCCGTGTGCCACGGATCCATTGAACAGCCATGGATCCATTTTCCGTGCTGCTCCATTGGAATGACACCATTGGCACACTGGGCTTCGCCCTGGGTGTTCGCCTGTTCGCCCCGAAGCTAGTCTCGCTTCACACCCCCGTTGAGCCAGCTGAGTTGCTACCGTCAGAGCGTGTTGTGCAACCACAGCTGAGCTTGGCAAGATTCCTGGGCAACTGAGAACTAGATGTTGTCGACACGAGTTCATGCACCAAGAGAGATTTCATGTTGTGTTCCACATGAACAACTAGACAATCCATCTCCCCAATCCAGAGCATATTCATTGTCCAGTCCCTTTGCCCAAGTACAGTATATCTTGTGTTGAGTCTGTTGAGTCTTACCACATGTCTTTTCTTCTGGGCTTGTACAGTCGGTGTAGAAGTCGCAGACAGCCAAATCCAAAGCCTGCAACCCTTTGGCTTCAAGTCTTTAATAAGGCCAGATATTCACAAAGAAGAA